CGAGTACAGCAGTGGTGGTGGGAGCCTCTCCTGCCTCCTCAGCAGTGCTAAGGATGTCTAACTGCAGCTTAGGTCTGCTTCCCGCTGGCAAGTGGACATCCCCCGAGGGCTGCCGGGCTGCCAGAGGGATGGCTGATTGCCATCTTAGGCCCAATCTCCCGGGGAGCAGGCCTAAGCCAGCAAGTGGTCACCCCCGAGGGGTCCCAGACTGAGAGAAGGCACAGGCCAGGCTGAGGGACCCCCTACCCCCGAGTGCACAAATTTTTGTGCACCGGGCCTCTAGTCCTATATAATAAAAGCCTAATATGCTAAATGTCTGGTCATCCAGTCATCTGTTCGGCCAATCACAGCGTAATATGCTAATGATATGCCACTCAACTGCTCGCTATAATGTGCAGTGACCACCAGGGGGCAGATGCTCAATGCAGGAGCTGCTCCCTGAGGGTCAGTGCGCTCCCACTAGGGAGCGCCACTCAGCCAGAAGCCAGGCTCATGGCTGGCAAGCGTAGCTGTGGTGGTGGGAGCCTCTCCCGCCTCCCCGGCAGAGCTAAGGATGTCCAACTGCCGGCTTAGGGGGAGCAGGCCTAAGCCATCAGTCAGACATCCCCCGAGGGCTCCCGGACTGTGAGAGGGCTCAGGCCAGGCTGAGGAGACCCCCCCCCCCGCAGTGCACAAATTTCATGCACTGGACCTCTAGTATTTGAATAAAAGGGATCTCTCTTCTCCTTGACTCATGGAACTGGGAGGCCAGGTCATAATGTACAAGCCTTAGAGGAAACAGACAGAAAATAAGTTCTTATGGGTAGAATTGGGTTTTATTTATTGGACTAAATTCCTTCTGAATAATCTTGCATGCACAGAAGAAAAAGAGCAAAGCTACCAGTTTTGAGTCTATTTTCAGGATTACAGGGTGTAAACTTAAGTAATGTGGTCAGTTGGTCTTTTCCACAAGAACTGAGACCTGCAGTACTCAGCAAAGAGAAGCTGCCTGATTGAGTTAATGTGGGGGAAAGGAGGACCCACATTCCAGGCACCATGATGGCTTTCTGTGCGAACCAATCTGGTTCAGAATCAAAAGGACTTAAGCAACTTGATGCAATTCAGGTTATAAGCAGCAATTCCACTTGTTATGGGGAGGTGCCTGCTGATTGAAGATTAGCTGGCAGCAAGAGGGAAAATAAAAGTGTGGAGGAACTGGTCAAACAAGATCAAGGTTGTATTATTTGTTTAGCTGCGCACCATGGAGTAGCTAGGGCTGGATGAAGCAAGTACTCTCCATTGGAGCACGGGATCTACTTGAACAACCTCAGCATAATTTACAGTCCAACGGAGGGAGGATTAACCACTTCCACCAGACACCTCTGTGTGTCCAATGTCTCCAAAGGGCCGTGACTTCCGAATCATGAATGAGACATAAAGGGAGAGATCTAAAATATGTCTCTAAGCAGAAACATTTTCAGTTTTGCTACCAAGCAGACAAGAAAATGAGGTGACTTCAACGTCACAAGTCCACTCATCGACTTTCATTTCCCCCAGTCAAACGGCAGATGCCACAACACAACAAACCAAGGCATGGAGTACGCTCCCCACCCCCCATCCCACCCCATGAGATATACAGAGTAAATCCTACCAGTTTCGCAGCATCTTCAATATCTTTTCCATCTTTAATATCTTGTCTGTTAGCACTGAAACCAAGTGAGGAGAAGATGTGAGCTCCCTACCTCCAGGTTTCTGGCGCTTTGTGAAAAGGCACTGTATCTCCTCTGTGATTCCATAGCCATTCTGGGGGCTGAAACAGGGAAATGGCAGGCAGGCTAGTCAAGCATATGGTGGGTTTGCAAGGGACAGCTGTTAGACATCAGGCATTGATGGATCATTTTCTCCCTTTGTTCCACCTTTTAATAAACTTCACAA